CCCCAAAACCCCAAAACCCCAAAACCCCAAAACCCCAACTAAGATGATAAATATTGAAATATTTATATTTCTACTTATCGCCAATATAATTCTTGGTAGAATACTTGGGCTTCTTATAGATCCTACTATAAGGCTTGTAACTCTTGCCTGACTAAGAATCTACATTGCTCGTAGTCCTGACTTTCTTATTAGCCAATTCCTTAGTAGCTGTTGAGGAGCTAACGCCCCCACTATGTATGACCTTACGGGGTTCTCTAATATCAGTTTCGACCTTCACCACCTCCTTTTCGAGGCTTTCCTTCTTACTGGCCGACTACAAGGTGATTGTCAGACATACCTTCCTGTTCTTGTCCTTCAGTAAGTCGTACTCATGCTTGATTTTCTCCTTCTCTAAGGCCCACTTGGGTCTCTCCTTCTCATGTTCAAATATCTGGAGGCTTCTCTTGGACTCGGAGTCTTTGCACTTCTTCTCAAGAATCTCTAAATTGTGCTTATAATTGATCTTCTCCTTTTCAAGCAGTAACTGGATCTCCAAGAATTGCTTGTCAAGCTGAGATTTGAGCTTATTTATTCTCCTCCTGATAGTACTGCTCGGACTCAGGCAAGTCTCTGATTTTAGACTCCCATGAAGAACCCTCCGAGATTTTTCCTAGGGATTCTATCTTGCACTTCTGGCACAGTTCCTTGTATTTCTTCTCCAAGCTCTTGTGGTGAGAACTCCAATCCGAAATAGTGGATGCATGTGACTCGTTAATGTCCTTGGTCTGCTCCTTGTACTTTTTCTCAATATTATTTACCAGAATCAACTGGGCACTCTCTGTCTTCCCTACACAGGAGTTACAGAAGGCATTCAGTCAGGCTGGAAAGCCACTTACCTCTCTCTGAAGAGTCCTTCCGTTGCAGTTGCTCTACTGTTGTCTCAAACTTTTGGTGTGCATCTTAGAGGTCCTGCTTAGCTTGGTTCCTTTGGTTTTCGATAAACTCTCATCTTTCATCCCAGGAGGCTTTATCCCGCTCATAATTGCTGTGAAGCTCAGTGTAGTCTCTCTCACAATCAATGAGCTTTATCTTCAAGTCCTCATTTTCTTTGACGAGTTGTTTTACTTTATTATCTAGCTGCTCAATGGTGTCCTGGCTCTCGAAGTTAATAACTTCAATTTCTTTATTGTACTTCTCTTTGAGCATGCTCAGCTGGCTCTTAAGCGACAAAACCTTCTATCTTGAAATCAGGGTCTCTTTCTCTTGTTCACTTTTAAGACGGATGATCTTTGACTCGAAGTTTATCAGTATGGCAGCCTTGTCTTCGAGCTTCTCGTTAAATCTCTGGTTCTCCTCCTTCAGATAGGTCATTTTTTGCTGGGATTGACTGTAAAAGTCCGATCTGAGAGAATCAAGCCTCTCTTGGTACTCCTGGGAGCTCTCTTTGATTGTCTTTTGCAGCTCAGAAATCTTCTCGTCTTTAAAGACCAACTTCTGGTTAATGATGGCTTCTTCCCTGGTGTACTCCCACTTCTGCTTCATAAGGTCATCCTTGAGGTTCTCTATTGTGGATTTGAGCTTGTAAATTCCCCCATTCAGATTTGCCTGGTTGGCCTTGAAGTTCTTGTGCTCATTCTCAAGATCGTCTTTTCTCTTTTTAAATTTATTTTCAAGGTTCTCCTTGAACTCAATCCTGTCTTTCTATAGGTAAGCAAAGTGTTTGGAAAGAGCCTCCGAGCTGGAAGTGCTGGCTGCTTTGAGTGCTTTTTCCAATGAGTTGATCTTATAAATGAACTGCTTGTGCTCTTCCTTGATCTGCTTGTAGAATTCTTCCTTTCTAACTTCATCTTCAGCCTCCTGTTCGGTCCGGATTACTTCTTGCTTATCTAATTTTTCTGAGAGTTTGTCAGACATATTGGTATTCCTCTTATCTGCTAGTCTGGTTGGTCAAGTCATACTTCTGTGTGCTGGCTGAGCATCTGGAGGTAGAAAGTCAGGACTTGTTCTTTGAGTAGGGAGGGATGGGTTAAGAAAGATAGAAGGATGGGCAAGATTGAGAGATGGAGGGGTAGATGTGTTTTGAAGTTTAGCATTGGCTATATATTTGGGAATAATATTATAAATCATCTGTTATTGTTGGGGTTTTGGGGTTTTGGGGTTTTGGGGTTTTGGGG